GTGTGGTGGTTCAGTAAATATAATATCATATTGTTACGGATTTGGTATTTAAATAACTAATGTTAGTTGAATTACAAATTAAATTGTTTTATTCCCCGTGCAGTGTAGCGCGTGACGAATATTATAGGAAAAATAAGCCGGAAAATTAAAAATACAAAAGCACGTGCATTAAACATTTAATAAATAAATATCTCTTTTTATTTCGTCATGACCTGCCTTAGTCCTTTCTTGAACAGTCTTCATTTCTTCGTTAACTGCTTTCATCTCGTTTTTAACAGATTCTTCCTTTTTTTTTTTCCTGTCCCGATCTAATATCTTTCTAACAAATTCTTTCCTCTCTGCCTTCGCAAAGGCTGCCATGAATTACCTTAACTGTTCTTCCATCACTCTAGTAATTGACATTCAAACCCCACTCCTGACACCAAACATTGTTGCGTGCGTACGGGTTCGTTTAAATTGAATGCACAAGTCCAATGAAAAATGAACAAAATTTATTATTATCACAACAAAAATGCTTAATTTTCCTCAGATATTCGTTCAGTATTACAATATCTCACAGTAGTCATCTTTTAAATACTCAAATGTTCAAGAGAACGTAATTCAAAACAGCTAGAGAAAGCTAATCCGCGAATTCGCTACAGTCAACAAGAGCAGTTTTCTAAACTCTTAAAGCAACAACAAACAAACTAAAATCCTAATAATGAATTGAGAGGTTTTCTTGCCCCTTATATAAGCTTTTTAAATCGCGCCCGAGAATTTTCTGGAATTTTCTCGAAATCAAGAAAAGATATTTATTTATTAAATGTTAAATGCACGTGCTTTTGTATTTTTAAATTTCCGGCTCAGCTTTCCTCTAATATTCGTCACGCGCTACATTGCACGGGGAATAAAACAATTTCTTATAATTCAACTAATATTAGCTATTTAAATACCAAATCCGTAACAATATTAAATATAAATTAAGGCAATCAATAAAATATAAATTGATTTAATTAAATATATAATAGTATCACAATCTCAGAAATCTCACATCATCACTGCGTCACATCTTCCATCATAACTGAACACACTCAATAGCGCTCTCAGCGCCTTCTAGCTTTACGCGGGTCTTACCATTCTTCCCACTTAAACTCCCATGGAGTTTGCATTTCAATTTTCAGATATTGAGATAAATTTCAATAATAATAAAAATAAGTCAATAAAATTACACTAAATATTAAATTAATAAATTATTAAAATATATAAAATAAAAGTTTTTCAAGTTCTCATTCAGTCTTTAAAATGTAGGGGAATGACTTTGTTGATAGCTCGCCGAAGAACACCTGTAGACGTCTTAACTTCAACTACTCTGACCAGACCATCAGTACCAGGATATGCTTGTTGGATGCGACCCAATGGCCAATGCAAAGGATTAGAGTTTAAGTCCTTTAGCAGTACTAGTGGACCAATCTGTATGTTCGGCTGTGAAATGCTCCATTTAGCACGATTCTGTAGTTGATTTAGATACTCTGAATGCCACCGGTTCCAAAATTTAGCTTGGATCTCTGAACTAGTTCCCACCTGGAATCAAAAGAAAGAGAATCCGAAGCAGTATGGCATTCAGTAAAGGATAATATAGCATTTCCTGTCAAGAAATGTCCCGGAGTAAAGGCTGTAAGTCATTCGGATTGGAAGAAAGCGGTGATAATGGGCGGGAATTCAGAATTGCTTCTATCTGAGTAACTAAAGTAGTTAACTCTTCAAAATTCATGATAGCTGATTTTGCTACCCTTAACAAAATTCGTTTCACTGATTTTATGTTGGCTTCCTACAGTCCGTCAAAGTCCATTGGATGCCTTCTTCTGCACTAAATCCTTGAATTGTGTTAGATTTACAAATTTTATTATATGGGTTAAGAATATTACTCGCACCTTTGAAATTCGTGGCGTTGTCGCTCCAGATGACGGCTAGTTTGAATCTTCTGGCAATAAATCGTCGTAAACAGGCTAGAAAGCTTCTGCTGTTAAATCAGAAACGACTTCTAAATGCACTGCCTTAGTGCAAAAACAGATAAATAATGCAATACAGTAAACTCTCGCTACAACGATACCCGATACAACAATAACTCCCTCTACTACAATAATGTTTTGTGGTCCCGGTGATTTTGCATATAAACTAATGTTAATCTCCCCTCAATATTGCTATATTCTCTAGAACAATTAACCTCTGTTAAAAACGATTTTTTCAATCTAAATTTCAGTATTATTTTCTCCCTTTATAATATATTTTGTTTTCAAATGCTTTTTTTTTTTTTTTTTTTTTTCGTTTTCTTTTGTTATTTTTTCCGTCTATTAAAACTCATTGTGGATATTCAACTTACCCCTGAATAAATAGCTATTGTTCAGATTTCAAAACAGATGAAGACCACCCTTTTGGGAATCTGAGTGGGTGAGGGGGTGAAGTGTAAATGTATGCCTAGTCTCATTTCCCAGTAAGCTTTGGAATTCTGATAAGGTTTAAGAGCATCTAGACCTGTCTGGTCACCTTGTCACAGAACAAGTGCCCTTTGTTAGAGGAACAGGGTGAGATGGAGGCGGGGTGTTGTTAAGTGACGTACTGAAAAGTGAGTTCAAAGGTTGTTTTATAGTCTTTAACGATTTTGAGTTCTACGCGAAACATTTGGTTTAAACTTTTCTTTCTTTCACGCGATATTGTTCCCTAAGATGGCAGGGCGAAAGCAACTATCTTTTCGAGATAAACTGAACGTTATCAATGATATTGATGAGGGAATGAAGCGGATTGATGCGGCTAAGAAACATGGATTATCGCAATATACAGTTGCAACGTTCCTAAAGAAGAGAAAGAAAATCGAAGATGCTCTAACTTCAAATGAAATTAACCAAGAGCGAAAACGACTGAAAGTTGCGACAAATGAAAACATTGATGCTGCTGTTTTAAAATGGTTTCAAGAGATGAGAGCAACAAATGTCCCAATAAATGGACTTTTATTATGTGCAAAAGCACAGAAATTTGCAGCAATGCTAGGGAATGAAACTTTCAAAGCTAGCAATGGTTGGTTAATGCGTTTTCGAGATCGTCATGGAATAACTTTCCAAGAAGTTCACGGAGAGAAAGAGTCAGCCCCGATAAACGACGCAAATGAATGGCGGCAAAACAAGATGAAAGAAATCTTAGAAAAGTATGCTTCAGAAGACATTTATAATGCAGATGAAGCTGGGCTGTTTTCAACTCCTACCCGATCGAACATTGGATTCAAGGGTGAAAAGTGTTTGGAGGGAAAAAATCAAAGCAGAGACTGACTATTCTTCTGTGTACAAATAGCACAGGAACGCATAGAATACAACCTCTCGTCATTGGTAAATCATTGAAGCCAAGGTGCTTTTAAGAACGTGAAAAGTCTTCCCGTGGAGTATAAAGCAAATAAGAAGGCTTGGATGACGTCTAAATTTTTTTCCGAATGGTTACAGAAGTTAGACAATGAAATGAAGAAGAGAAAGAAAAAAATCGTTTGTTGATAGATACTGCGGTGCTCACACGTCATTTTCAAATCTACAAAATATCGAAATCGCTTTTTTCCCTGCCAATTGCACTTCAATTTTTACGCCTCTTGATATGGGCATAATTAAGTGCTTCAAGGATATTACAGAAAACGGTTGGTGGACTCCATACTTGTAACTTTGAAAATAAAGTAGAAGACCCTTTCAAAGCTGTAAATGTCAAGGAAGCTGTGTGACAATATTTCTGGAAGTTGGTGGGAAGTAACAGAAAAAAAACATTCGGAATTGCTGGAAAAAGGCCGGTCTTTGTGTTATGGAAGATAAGAATCTGATAATGATGAAAATTCCCATGGACAATGATCTCTCAGATGATCAAGAATGTGTTTTGCACATCAAAAAATTCCGTCCCAAACTTGAGGAAACAAGCGGTAAAAAGTTTGGAATTAGTATAGAAGAAGATTTAACAGCAGATGATGATCTTATGGTTTTCGCAGGAGTTACTGATGAAGATATTTCTCTGAAAAGTACTGATGAGATAGGAAACAATGATGAAGATGATGATGATATTGATGATGATGATAATACAGGTCCATCGCAGTCCTTATTGTCATCCCAGGAAGCTCTTCAATCTGTGAATTCTCTACGGACATTTTTTTCAAGCCTTCCGTCGACAAATGAAGAACATTTTTGTGCACTAGACTCAATGCATACAGTATTGGTGAACTTAACAGTTAAAAAAGTCAATAAACAAACAAAAATATTGGATTATTTTTAATAAAAAGTGTTTTCAGGTATGTGAATATTCTGTGCTTATTTTCTGAATTTATCTATTATTTATTTTTTTAGTATTTAAACCACTATTATTAGTATTTTACAAATTTTTCTTCTAAATATAGACTTAAAGTAGTATGTTATGCACCTTAAACTAATAATAATAAAAAAACTCTTATTAAATGCTCAAAATATGTGGGCCCTCGATATAACAATATGCCTCTCTACAACAATATATTTATTTGGTCCCTAACATATTGTTGTAACGAGGTTTCACTGTATAAGACATTTAAAGTCACCTTTGACGTTCCAAATTAGTTTTCGTGTTTATAGGTCCTGTGAAATCTAATCCGACCTTCTCGAAAGGTACGACTCTGTCCCAAGGTAGATTACATCATCTAGCTTATCGTTTGATTCTTCGTTCTTAACTTATGTCTTTTGTTATACCTCATGATACGTTATAGTTTTAATCAATTCGAATTAATGCTTTTCTCTTTATATGCTTTTCAAGTTTGTTGCTTAATGTTTGGACATGAGTGTAGCTGAAACTGTTATTGCCTTCAATTGATCCATTTCTTATCAGAAAAATATTTTTCAGTAAATGTTGATACGTAAATAAATTAATAAATATGTATCTTCAAACTAATATTCATCTAGACATGGTACGGCATAAGACATCATTTTCGGAATCTCCAACTACATCATATTTTTTATGTTTTCTGTTTTTTGTAGATCACTCTCTGTACCGTGGGCTATGGTGACACTGTCCCGATCACGTGGCCTGGGAAACTAATTGCAGCATTTTGCGCCCTTCTAGGAATCTCTTTCTTCGCTCTGCCTGCAGTGAGTATTTCACTATTCAGTAACATCTGAGTAGATGCTGATGCCCAGTTTAAATTGAGTTAATATTTTAATTTAAATATTCTTTTATTTAAACATAATATGTAAGAAACGTTAAACAAATGCGTTAAAAATTAATTAACAATATTAAGTAGTAATATGCAACGTAACCTGTAATTCCTGTAAGTTTCTAATTCACTTTACTTAAATTATTTGAATTTCATTTGCGTTTCTTGAACAATTAAAGATTTGATTAGCAGCTATTAAACATTTAATTAGCGAACACAAAATATTCGTAAGTATATGTTTTTTTAACGGTTGTTTCGCTTGAATGCGCCTTTTGTAAAAAATGAAGAAACTTTTACTGATAGGATTATCATTTCGTAAACATACTTGGTAAATAATTCTAAAGGGAAATTTTTCCAGTGAGCTGAAATGAACAAAAATAATATTATTCGATAAAGAATATAAAGATAACTTAGCAGGTAAAGCATGTAGATTCATTTATTTCATTTTTTCGTCGGGTTTAAAGCTTTGGACCAATTGTTAACAAGTAGCAGAACATAAATTCAATCAGAATAAACTTCTAGTAGAAATGCCGGGTACCTATAAATTAGATTTTCAAGTTAATCCAAAAAATAAAAAGAAATTTTGCTTTTTTTTTTTTTCGGATAAAAAGAATGCTTTCAATCGCACTTGATTTCGAAATTTAACTTAACAGCTAAATATACTGAAATGTCCATCGAATCCAGTGATCTCCCGACTAACGTAATACACGACTTAGAAAGTTGGCAGTTACCTAAATTACAAAACCATAACTTTCAGGTTAATTTAAATTATGAAGGCACCTTATAGGCGGCCACCGTTACCTCCTGTGAAGGAACAGACAATTTACGTCCATACCGTTTCCGGGATTCGAACTCGGCTCTTTGGTATGACCGTCAGATTCACTAATCGCTTTCCCGTCTGGGCGGCCGTAACTTTCAAATTAAAACCTACTGATCATTTCTACTTTCCTTAATCAGTACTTCTTGCATTTAACTAATGTTCTCTGGACTAGTTTAGTCGCTTGTTTGCTATCGTTATGTTCGTGTTTTATTCCCTTTAAAGCACTAAACCTATTATGTTGGTTGAACTGCCAACTCAAGGCATTTAAAAAAATATGCACGAAAGAGCTAGCCAAGACTTCTAAACTGATAGACATGACACTGACAAAATTTGAGTCGGTGGATTCGAACTCTGGTTGGTTCGAAAATGTAGCAGCCGTATCCATTTGGATAGATCTAGCTATAAGGCTATCTATGACTATAAAGGATGCTGGACTACATAATCTGCTCTGAACCCATTTATGAGGTGCTGGTAACAAAAACATCAAAATGAACATTCAACCGATTACTACTGCTCTCGTGCAAAATCAAGAGCAACAGAAATTGCAGAGAACAGCATTTCTGCTCAACATTTTAGTCCAAAGGGTGTTATCCCAGATAAGGACTATTACTTCCGTTTTGCCATTTTGCGTCGAAAACTTTAAATGTGAACTTTAAAAGTGAAACTTTTCAAATTGTTGTCCCCAAATATTATCATCCTGAGATATACTGAAAGAAATTAAATAACGAAGAATTTGTATAAATGTATGTATGTTTCTCGCATTCTGATAATATAACGGTATCTAGAGCCATCAAATTTTGAATAACGTAATCCTCCATCGAATATGGGCATCTGGAAGCCCTAATTTGGAATGTTTTTATTATTGATTTCATGTTTTGTAACACTTTAACGAATTTTGGATTAACAAACTCAGCTATTTCAAAGCGAGCAATGGCAATACTGTACGGGGGGGGGGAAATGCATTTTTATCTCAAGCGCGCAAGACTGTTTATCTGAAATTCTAAAGATATGCTCTTTTAAAAATTATTTTTCGATATTACTGTTGAATTGAATTTTATGGTTTACGTACAAGGAACATGATATTTAATAAATAAAGATAACACACAAAACGTTAAAAAAAATGCCAAGTTGAGCGTAATGTAAAATCTGAAAACTTTCATAATTTTTTTTATATTCTTTTATGTATTTTGCATACTTCTATAGTTTATACCTGACTAAACAATGCTGCATGATGGTTCACTTATAAAATAATACCGTGTACTTAATATACATTTATAAATACATGAAATCAAAAAATAATCTATGCCATGTGATTGTAGAATAACTTTAATGACACAAATTCGACTTACAAAAGTGTCTACAAAACGTGTTATTTAAGTAATTCGTGAGGTTACTGTATATAAATAATATTATAATATTTTTTTTTCTATGATGACCAAAATAAATAGGTATCAACAGCTAACAAATAAAAATGCCCATCTGATGACAATTGCCACTGAACTTTCATAGTGACCTAGTAAGTGAACAAACAATAGATACAAACTGAGGCAATCGCCTGCAACTAACAGAGAGGTCTTGTAAAATGGCGAGCGTACTCGTTAGATTTGCGACGATAAGTTGAAAACCATAACATATATCTGAGGTTTTAGGCATTATATTGTCAACAGAGATCACATTCCCCATCATTAAAGTTGCACATGTCATACACTTACGTCACACCACGGTTGATAAAGCGATGAAAGAAGGAAGGGCTGTAAACAAAGTTTATAGGTGCATCACCGGGTAGGTAATAATAACAAAATTTACGATAGGAGGATTAATTATGTTCCACACAGTATAGTTTATGTCCGAAACGGAGAAGGTATTTGTGTGATAAAGGAAATATGCATTAGATTTGAAATTGTAATAGATGCTTTCGGACATATTTCTTCAAACGCGAGCAGTGAATTCGGCGTCCCACTTTACACGTTTGCGAAATTTGATGTACCTATGTTGACGAAGTCGTGCCTCTTTATGTTCCTTTGTATCACTTGTGTCCTATGCCTTGATGATCTGCCGAATTTTTTTACTCCAAATTTTATCTTACATTTGCAATCAGTAGCTGTTGTGGCCTTTCACTGCTCCGACAGGATAAACAATTGTCGTATAAACGCTTGTCAGTGTGCTTCAGTGTGCTTTGGAACCATCTTATGAATTAGGTATTTCTGTGTCACCTCGTCAATAGTATTTGAACCCGCAAGTTAAGGATTACAAATCATTTTAGTAATTGTACAACATATTGATTACTCCTCAATACTACTTATTTTTAGCAGACGAACATGCCTGTGCTCCGTATCACACTACCAAGCAACTGCCACTGCCGTATGATGCATATGCTACCTGCAAATTCTTTAACGCACAACAGCTATATAATTCACATATGTATTATGTTAGCTCGTTGCTGCAAATATTAGTGCTGCATTCATAACTTTATACGAACTGTTCTTAGAGATGTTAGCAACCGCCTACATTTCTTGTTTTCTTTATATGCTTAATGATGCTACACCAGGAAGGAAAGCAAACAAGAGGATTTTATTTATTATATATGTAGTACATAAAAAATTTATAATAAGAAAACTTTCCATATACTATCTCCAAGGAACACAAATTCAATTTAAAACAAAGAAAGAAAAAAAAATGAGTCAGAATTTTAATTATTATAAAAATAAATAAAATATATATAAATTTATTTTGAATATACATATATTTATACAGTATAATGGAAGGAAGATAATTTAAAGATGGTTTGGTGTACACATAGTGCATAATACTATTTATTGAATATTTCCAAGTTATAGGAATTACGAATGTTTTTACAAAAGGTTTTGTTTTAAGAATTTTTAATTTCTACATACATTCAGTTTTCGAGAAATTCTGAATTTTCATCTACCTTTGTCAGCAACAAAGCAACAGTGGCTGTAATTCGGCTAGACATTGAGTCTAAGGGAACGTGGATCACAGATACATGTACTTCATTCCATGCGCCTTCAACTCTATGTCAGTATTATCAATCGCAGCCACTCGCTTATAAAATAATATCTTGTTTTCTTTATATGCTTCACATCACTTTTCTTTATATGCTTTATATGTGCAGACCTCGAAGACAGTACACAGCCTCAAGTCTTAACATGTCAGAAATGTAATCACGATTGTCCATATTACCGGATATCAGGGATGCATACATAATCGCTTTATCAACCGTGGTATTTTGATCATCATAGAAAAAATATTATAATATTATTTATATACAGTAACCTCTCGAATTACTTAAATAACACGTTTTGTAGACAACGGGTGAGTGATCTGGAGAACGTATTGGTTGTCAGTCATACACCGTCGGTATCGAGGAAGATCATGACAGCACGGACAAGATGCGGTCTTGCATATCTTGTTGAAGATGGCATCACACAGACCTCGAAGACAGTACACAGCCTCAAGTCTTAACATGTCAGAAATGTAATCGCGATTGTCCATATTATCGGATATCAAGGATGCATACATAATGGCGCCCCGTACCAGCACGTCAGGTATTGGGTCCATATGACATTGGCAAATACAAGCTGTGAATGTTTGTTCTCGGTACCTCCACATACCGATATATCTATCATTATTCAATACGTAGAACCGGAATTCGTCTGAAAAATTGACGTAATGTCACTTTTGTGTCCAGTGCTACCGTTCATCACACCCCTCTAGATGCGTTTGTCTGTGCTGCTGCATAAAAGAAAACCGTAACAATGGTCGTCGTGCTGACAGTCTCTGAAGCTGCAGGCGTCGTTGTACTGTTCATGTTCATTTGTCCTTCTGCACACAAGACAAGCTCCTCACTTAGGGTACGCGACGTGGATGGGCTATCTCGTAAGGCCAAGAGGATCAGCATGACTCTCCTATCGGGGATTAGTGCCTCCGGGCCGCTGAGATCGCTCATGGTGTCCAGCATGGGCCTCCTGGACCCATCGATTTCATATTCACTTGACAATTATGGGACGTCGACCAACAAGGGCAGCAGTGTTATGGAATGATAAACTGCTTTCCTGATACACCACAGTCCTGCTGTAATCAAATTCCAATACATG